TGCCCTATATGACTGGCTGTATTGAGAGAATTTCCAGGATGCTGTGGAGGCAGGAATCCAAACAAAGCCAGGGGGTCTCTGTGAGATGAAATGACAGACTTGAGAATATGGGAAGGTCAAGTGGCTATCATATGAAGGACAGAATGTGGGAGGAGAGAGGACAAGCTTCATGTAGGGAGCGCGTCAGAGAGCAGTAAAGGTATCTTCATAAGACTTCAGCTGAGGATGGATCTGCCTATGCATACGAAGAAACTACACAAGTTGGAGGAATAAACAGCCAAAAAGGAGCAGACATAACAAGCCCCAGAGCTCAGACAAGGTCAGGAATATTTTGTGTTTCCACCAGAGTAGAAAATTTCAAAATACAAGGGGCAAGAAGTAGAATGCCCAGAGTATTGTTTCATTGGGGGTCAAATTACACCCAGGTTACAGGCTGCTCTGTTCCAGATTAACAACATTTAGGAATGAGCCTCCACAGGATCAAAATGTTTCCCACTCAACTGTGTCTCAGAACAAAGATCAAGAATAGTTAAGGGAATAACAAGTATGCCCAGTACCCCCAAAAATAAAATTCATAACATCTGGTATCTAATAAAAAAATATTTCCAAGAATGCAAAGTAGGAACCGATAACCAGGAGAAAAATTAAAGAAACACACACACACACAAACTAAAAGAAACAGACAAAAATATGGCACAGATGATAAATTAGATAAAAATAGTAAAACAATTGTCATAATTATATTTCATATATTCAAAGGTAGAGAAAAGGTTGAGCATATTAAGAGACACAGATGGAATGAAGAAAATCCAAATCAAACATCTAGAGAAGGCAAGACAATGTCTGGGACAAAAAGTAAACTGGATGGAATTAACAACAGATTAGACACTGCAACAAAATGACTAGTGGACTTGAAGACAGAAATATAAAATAGACAAATAAAATAGACAAAGGAAAAGTAGAAAAAAATAGAGCACTAGTGACCTGTAGGAAACTTCAAAGACCTTATTCTATATATATAAAAGCCTAAGTGACCAATTGTTCAACTGGTAGCTATGACATGCACTGACCACTAGCGGGCAGATGCTCAATGCATAGGAATGGAAACATGGAACAGACTGATGAATCTCAGAGGAAAGGAGAAGTGGGGAGGGCAGGAAGAGATTAACCAAAGACCTTATATGCATAGAAGAGGCCTGGTACACGGATTCATGCACCAGTAGGGTCCCTCGGACTGGCCTGTGCGGATTGGGCTGAATTCATGCACTAGGCCTTCGACAGCCCCTGAAGGGTCCTGGTTTGTGAGAGGGCACAGGCCAGGCTGAGGAACCCCACCAGGGCACGAATCCATACACTGGGCCTCTAGTTCTATATAACAAAAGGCTAATATGTAAATCAACCTAACAGTGGTACAACTGGTCACTATGACATTCACTGACCACCAGGGGACAGATGCTCAACACACAAGCTGTTCCCTGGTGGTCAGTGCACTCCCAAAGGAGAGCACTGCTCAGCCAGAAACCAAGGTCACAGCTGACGAGCGCAGTGGTGGTGTTGGGAGCCCCTCTCACCTCCGCAACAGCACTAAGAACCTCTTGCGGGACGTCTCCCTGCCAGCTTAGGCCTGCAAAGAGTTGGACATCCCCTGAGGGGTCCCAGATTGCAAGAGGGTGCAGGTTGGGCTGAGAGACCCCTGCTCCCCCCAGTGCATGACTGTTGTGCACCAGGCTTCTAGTCCTATCTAATAAAGAGGGAATATGCTAATTGACCCTCATGCCATCACAAAGATGGCAGCACCCACAGCCAAGAAGGAGGAAATATGCTAATTGACTGCCCCACGCTCAAAGATGGAGGTGCCACAGTGGGCAGTCAGACATCCCCCGAGGGGTCCCATATTGGAGAGAGTGCAGGCTGGGCTGAGGGGATCCCTCCTTCCCCCATGCACAAATTTTGTGCACCAGACCTCTAGTCCTATAATAAAGACGGTAATGACTCCAACTGTGACTAGGGCTATCATTGTGTAAACAAATTTTTTTCCATGACGAAAAACAGACTCAAATTGTTTCATTCCATGTAACAGTCCAGGATTATCTTCTACAGGAAGAGTCTGAAGAAAGAAAAATTTGCAGTAATGACAAAAAAGAATAGCACATCTTTTTTAAAAAAAAAATAGTAGACACCAGGAATTTCTGACAGTTTCCAGAGTAAGGGGAAGGGGAGGAGAAAAGAAGAAGTGAAGGAAAGGGGAGAAGGACATTTCGTATATATATAAGCCCTAAGAAAAGGAACTAAGGATACATAAATAGAGAGTTGCGTTGGGTTTGTAGATTTACAGAAAGTTGTCAGGAAAGCCCACATTGTGTGAAACACCATTGACTAACATCAGCTTCTTATGCAAAATGTTTTAGATGTGTACAAGACACATTATACAAATGCATTCGTGGTGGGTACAGGAACGCACCGCTCAGATCCCCCCCTTCAAGGAAGGCGTGCTCCCGCTGTTAGTGCTCTTGGCAGACAGCCCCTCGCTGTCCAGTCCTTTGGCTGGGGAGAGCTGCTTGCAGGAAGTACCCCCTTGGAGTGGGGGTACAAAGCTCCAGAAATTAGGACTCGCTGTGGGGCCACTCTGACAGGCGGTTTTGGCTTCTGGGCTCCCTGTGGGGTGGGGTGAGGTGAGGCTGTGGAAAGGGGCCCACTTCCTCGCTACATTAGCTCTCAGCCCAGCCGCCTTCCTCCCACCTCCTCCCTCAGGGGTTTGTCCCAAGGGCACGCCCTAGTACACATCCTGAAAGCTCAACTCTGTCTCCCAGCCCGCTTCCTGCAGATCCAAACGGCCACCGCAGCTCATTGACTTAAATACAGCCCTCAGGAATGGAAAATCATCCAGTTGTGTGTGAACATTTTTACTCCAGCATTTCCTTATTTCTTATTTTGAATGGCTTATACTTAGCATGATACTATCTTTAACCTTTTGTTTCATATGGCTTTGCTATTTCCGCTTCTCGTTTTTTTTTTTTTTTTTTTTTTTTTTTTTTGTTTGTTTTTTTAATAGGAATCATATTGTAGAAAGATAAAAAAGGTAATAGGGAGCCGAAACCGGTTTGGCTCAGTGGATAGAACGTTGGTCTGCGGACTGAAGGGTCCCAGGTTCGATTCTAGTCAAGGGCATGTGCCTTGGTTGCGGGCACATCCCAGGTAGGGGGTGTGCAGGAGGCAGCTGGTCGATGTTTCTCTCTCATCGATGTTTCTAGCTTTCTGTTTCTCTCTCTTCCTCTCTTAAAAAGTATATATTTTTAAAAATATATTCTTTTAAAAAGGTAATAGGGTAAGAAAAACTATTAGGCTGATGGTCAGTTACCTAGACACTCAGTACACCCACTAATTCAAGGTTGGTCTAAGCAACAAGGCAGGACATGTAGTGGGGCGATAGTGGTTTTGTTCTGAATATTGTACTGTCCATGAATGTCATAAAGAAGCTTATTTAACTTTGGTTAAGCCTGAAGGGGGTCCAATGGTCACTCAAAACTCTCGGATATGCATAGGTTTGGGAATTGGGAACATCAGGAAAGGAGGCACTTAAATCCTGTCTTCCCCTGCAGCTCCAGAGGGGGGCAGAGCAGTGTCTTCCCAGGGCAGCCCTCTCTTTTCAATGCCAAGCCTAGAAGATAGTCCAAGTCTGCCAGAAGGCTGACTCCACTGCCTTCAGACATTTGCTCTTGGAGAACCAGGTGCGTTTCAACGTGTCTCGTTCTGATATATTTTTTGGATCTATATGTTCCTAGGAGATGACTCAGCAGAGGCCACGCCCTCCTCCTCGGCTGAGGAAGAAAAAGAGAGGATGGTGAAGTCACTGTCCTGACAAGCAGACCAGACACCCACACACCAAGGAGAGAGATTGTCTTATTTCTTTCTAGGATCGTCTTGATCAGTGATCTCTGATGCCAAAAGGTATAATCAGTTGTGCTTAGCTCTTCCTTTTTTTTTTTTTGGGGGGGGGGAGCATTTGGAAGAATTCTGTCTAAAGAACCCCTGTGAACATGTTAGATCTTACTGTATGGCAGGCAATCCCTTTAACCAGCCTTTTTACCCAGGTTGGCAAGGTCAGTGTTTGTGAGAAAAAAAAAAAAAAAGGAAAGGTATGATGGGCCGAGGGTTCCAGGCTTTGGACAGAGGACGGGGAGCCTCCGTTTGCACATCTGTAAATCGGGATTGATTTCTTACGAAGACTCAATGAGGGGACACGGGAAAAGCACCCAGGACAGAGCTGTGGGAAGACACTTCATAACCGCACCGGGTCTGGGGAAACCCCGCTCCCCTCGCTATTCCCAGTTCCGGCCTGGAGATCATACAAAAATCCCTCTGCCCGCCCACACGGGGTTGGCTCAGTGGATAGAGCGTAGGCCTGTGGACTCAAGGGTCCCAGGTTCGATTCCGGACAAGGGCATGTGCCTTGGTTGCGGGCACATCCCCAGGGGGGGGGGGGATGTGTGCAAGAGGCAGCTGATCGATGACTCTCTCTCATCGATGTTTCTAACTCTTTATCCCTCTCTCTTCCTCTCTGTAAAATAAATAAATAAATAAATAAATAAATAAATAAATAAAATCAATAAAATATATAAAATAAAAGAAAGAAAGAAAACACACGAGTGTGTCCACCCCCAGCGTTAAAAAAAAAAAAAATCCCTCTTCCCCGTCCCTTCCTTCCTTCTCCTCGGCCTCCCCAAGACAAGGAAGCGGCCTCTCCGTTTCCAGGGATACGGAGCCCCAGCCTTCCAGAACCGCCCGCCGTGGTGGGGGTCGGGGTGGGGAGCGGAGAGCTGCGGCCTCACCCCGCGCCGCAGGCGGGCTGGGGGGCTGGGCGGGCGCGGAGGGGGGCGGAGGGGAGGAGGGGGGGAGGAGGGGAGGAGGAAGGGGTGAGGGAGGGAGGAGGGAGGCCGCAGGGCGCGTGCTCCCGGGCTGGTGAGGCGGGCGGCGCGGGGCGCGGGCGCAGAGCCGCGGAGATGGCAGGCGGCGGGCACCGGCGCGCCCTGCGGGGCGCCCTCCACCTGCTGCTGCTGGCCGCGCTGCCCCGGGCCGCCCAGGGCATCGGCCGGGCCGGGGGCGCCGCCGCCTGGACCCAGGAGAAGGTGAGGGCAGCTGGGGCGCGGGGGTGACCTGGGCGGCTCCTGCCGGGTGCTGGGTGGGTGCTGGGGAGTGCTGGGGGGTGCTGGGTGGGCGCTGGGGAGTGCTGGGGGGTGCTGGGTGGGCGCTGGGGGGTGCTGGGTGGGCGCTGGGGGGTGCTGGGTGGGCGCTGGGTGGGTGCCCGGCGAGCCCTCCCGGCAGCCAGGGCGGCGGTGCCCGGCCCGGCAGCCTGCCGCCTCGGGCTCCCGGGGAGCGGAGGGTCTCGGCGTCCTCGCCAGCGGCCTCGCACCCCGGGGACACGGGCGCCTGGCGGCGGGTGAGGTCACCGGTCCCCTGGCTGGGGCCGCGGCGGCGGCAGAGGCGCAGGGTGGGTGTCTGGCCCGTGGCCCCCCGCGGGGAGGTGGGAGCGCTCCCGCCGCTGCATCCCCGGACCCCCTGGAGACGGCGATGTTTCCATGTAGCCTCTGGACAGACGTGTGTTACTGCCAGTCCGTTTTAGGAAGCTCTTTTTTTTTTTTTTAAAGATATCTTTAAAAATATATATATTTTATTGATTTTTTACAGAGAGGCAGGGAGAGAGATAGAGAGTTAGAAACATCCATGAGAGAGTCATGGATCAGCTGCCTCTTGCACGCCCCGGACTGGGGATGTGGTCACAATCAAGGTCCATGCCCTTGACCGGAATCGAACCTGGGACCGCTCAGTCCACAGGCTGATGCTCTATCCACTGAGCCAAACCGGCTAGGGTTGTTGTTAGTCCGTTTTAGATTTTCAAGCGGAGCAGCTCGGAAGCAAGGATTGTAACTGGATACTCACTATATATATATATATATATATATATATATATATATATATATATATATTTATATATATATATATATATATATATATATATATATATATATATATATATAGTCTTAAAAGAGAGTAAAATGCAGTGGTCAGAGCAATGTATCTAGGTAGAGGTGCAAATTTCATATAAGGAGCTTAGAATACAAGCACCTTGCAAGTGCCCTCCGTGTGAAATAAGTTATTTCCCTTTCTTGTGTAACAATTTGGAAACCATGACATTGCTACAGAGGCTTGTGCTGATGTGAATGGTATTGGAGTAACATGGTATGGCCTTCAAGATACAATGAAAGGCAGCGAGGCAGAGGGGTATCAGTGCTGACAGTGTTGCTGAACACATCCTTTAAACAATTACGACTCACATGCCTGTGTGTACGCACACGTCTGAATACTGGGCACACTGGAGAATGCACAGGCCCTGGCTGGCACTCCAGTCTGCTCCTCCCAGCCACATGCACAGGTGTGGGAACAGCCCTGGTCAGTTCCCTGGGTTAGGCTTCCTGAGCCTCACCCTTCAGGGCACTTATGTCAGGTGAACACATAAGGGAGATCATCAACCACAAGGAGATCATCAACCACAGGGATGCAGGGAGCCAACTCAAGAATAACTTCCTTATAAGAAAAATCACTTGGTCAGAAGGTGTCCCATTGAGGTACTGACTCCAATCCCGACCTTCGCTTCCCTGTGAGGACCCTCCTGGTCAGAAACTGGTCACGAAGAACCAAGATGGGACGCTATCCCAAGCCTGCCTTTCTGACCCATCTGGATGGTTGGGAGTAAGTGAGATGGGAACTGTGTGAAGGAGCTGCTCTGAAGGGACCGTTGGAAGGCAGGTTGTACGTGTAGGTGGCAGAAGGTGCTGCATTCTTGAACTGTGTAAAGCCTTGAGAACTTAACCTTTGGGAATGTCTTTTTAAAAAAATATATATTTTTTATTGATTTCAGAGAGGATGGAAAGGGAGAGAAAAATAGAAACATCAATGATGAGAGAGAATCATTGATCAGCTGCCTCCTGCATGCCCCTCCCCCCCCAACCCCCCCTCACGGGGATTGAGCCCACAACCCGGGCTTGTGCCCTTGACCGGAATGGAACCTGGGCCCCTTCAGTCCCCAGGCTGACGCTGTATATCCACTGAGCCAAACCAGCCAGTGTTGGGAATGTCTTTTAAAGTTCAAGTCCCTTTTATAGTTACTTCAAGAAGCTTCTGGTTACTGTAGTTTTGGGAAACTAGATGCTTTCTGCGAAAATGGTGCAAGCAAATGGACAAACGACCAAATCAGCTGTGGCCGCGCCCGAGAGGCCCCCTCCCTCTTCTTTCTGTAGGCCTCCCTGAAGTCCTCCAGGTGGCCAGGAAGGAGCATTAGTCACCACAGAGACACAAGCCTTCCTGCTCTCTGTGGCATGTATGTTTCAATCATGTGAGATGTGCTCTGGGTACACTGGCCTGCCCGAAGGGGAGGCGGGGTAGAGCACGGATGTTGAAATCCATTTTCTTGGCTGTGAAATAAGGGTGTGTCTCTTCCAGCAGCATCCAATGTTAAAAGCAGTTCAACCTCAGCTTCAGGTGGTGTTTCAGAAGATAATGATTTGGTTATTTGAAACCTGCAAGTCTGGAATATTAGGAAACTCGCAGTGAAGAAGGTACATTTATCTCCGGTTTACAGATGAGGAAACTCGACCACGATTACACCCATGAATTGAAGAGCCCTCGACTCTCTTTTCCTCTTTTACTTCTCCTCCAGAGTGGCCGAGGCCTGGCTGATGATTCAGGGACAGTGTCCAGCTAGTGAAGGAGTGTGAGGAGATTGGAGGGCCAGAGAAAGAGCTTGCATACCCCTCTCTGGGTTAGGGTGGACCCCAAATGGAATTCCCAAATCAGTCATTTTGTTTTTGGAACCCTCTCTTCTCTCATTCCTTATTTCTCCCTTCTTCTAATCTCCCTTATAGAGCTTACAGGCCATTATTCTGGGGGTTGGTCCATATTCCAAAATGACTTCTTCTGAATCCTGCCTTCCCCAATACTTCTTCTGAAACCTATCTCCCCCAATCTCAGAACCTATCCCTTTAGTTAGTGCAACCTTGTCAACCAGCGGTTAAAAGGAATCTAATGGAATCTGAAATCAGTCCTCCCATAGGTGTGAATGACTGATGACTCCGCTTTTAAAATGGAAGCTTTTAGCTCCAACACGTTAAAAAAAGTATGGCTTTTCTTGACATCTCGCAATTATAAAGTCAACTTGTGCTGGTTTTGGGAAACTAGAAGAATACAGAAAAGGACTAAGAAGGAAACTATCATCACCCATAAGCCCACGTTCAGAGATAATTGCTGTTAGCCATTTGGGTGTTCTTATTTGTTTTCTCTCTATAATATAAACATATACATACAGGGTGGGGTGAAAGTAGGCTTACAGTTGTTCATATGGAAAATAATACAATAATTGACAAATAACAATATAAGAATAAAGTCTGTTTTTTGCACTCACAACTGCAAAGCCTACCTTTACCCACCTTGTGTGTGTGTGTGTGTGTGTGTGTATATACACACACACACATACATAGACATACATATGTATATAAATGTGTGATGATGTGTTTATCTAGATGATAAAATTGTACCAGTCTCATGAGTTTTATTAGAACTGAATGAGTTATTCACATAAAGCATTTAGCACAGAGGTTGTCATATAGCAAATGTTCAATTAAGGTTACTTCTTTCTTTTTTAAAATAAGCACACCTGACTATTTCATACTAGAGATTGTGCTGCATATACAGTTTTATATCTTACTGTGTTACTTAATTGTATGCGAGTTTCCTTGAGCTCATGATTTATTGAAAGCATCATTTGATATTTACAAAATCATCATCATTCCACAATTTAACGATCCCTTTATGGCTGACTATTCAGATCGCTTCCAGACTTCCTCTAGCGTTAAGCTGGGACCCAGTGTATTTTAATGGTAGAATTTTTCTTTATTGTAGCAAAGCTGAAGTTCAACTACAAAGTGGAAATTATACCAGGGATAGAGGTGTGCCCCATCAGCACAGCCAAGGGTTCGGCGAGCCTGAGTGGGGCCGACGAAGGATGGAGAAAAGATAGACAAAGAGAAAAAGCTGGGTCTAGGTGGATCTTCTGTGCCTGGCTGAGGCCACAGAACAGAGCCAGACTGCAAAGCTGGTGCTTTATTTATTGTCAGGGACAAACAAGGTAGTTTACAATGTTCTTGTAAGTTTGTTTTGGCAGCACTTGCTGCCCCTCCGACAGCCCACTAGCTACCCAGGAGAGAGCTAGGGAGCAGCTACAAGATCAAGCTTAAAGCTGGGACTTGTTTGCGACTTTGCCAGCAGGTCAGTCCAACGCTTCACCCTATAACCACTCCCTATGTGGAGGGACAGAGTCTTTGAACAGAGCAACCATATACAGGAGAGCTGGCCTCACCTAGGAGTCCTCTCTCAGGGTCAGCTCTAGCAAGTTGCTACTGCTCCCCCCTCCCCACCCTCCCCATTTCACATTCCTCTGCTTCTGGAGCCACATTCTGGAGCCACATGTATTCTAAACGTCCTTAGTCATCCATCCGCCCATCTCCCTGCCATTGATTCTTATGGAAACAGCAACAGACTCAGTGGTAGGAGCGGTATTGGTAGCAGACAAAGACAAAATGTCCCATTTTGAACCTCTACTAAAGGTAAGTACTATGACATGGATTTTACCGATAAGGAAGCTTGTCCTAGTCACAGCTAGAAAGTCGGGGAGCTGGGATTTCACCCTGAATTGTTCCCAGCCTGCGCTGCTGCGTTGCCTTTTGATAGATGCCTGCTGGCATTGAAAGAAGAGACACACCGTTATCTCACTCGGTTCCCTGCCCTTCCACCACTGTCATTGGTCATGTCAGCGGCATCCCACACGCAGAAGGAGTGCAGTACATGCTGCCTGGGTTGCATTTGCAGGTAGACACAAGTGTTACCCCGAATGCTGTTGGGAGACCCTCACCTGGGACAGAAACTGGCATTGAATCTGCTGAGCTCCTGTTAGGGCAGTGATTTGGGACCGCATATCCCTCTGACAGCTGGGCCAGCTCTACAAACCATGTAATTAAAACCCTCCTTGGCCTGGAACCACGTGATCAGCCCAGAGGCGTTGCCTCAGGATATCTGGTTCACGCTTTTTGAGCTGAAAGATTTTTGTCTGGAAAAGCAGACTTATTGTCTCTTCTGCCTGGGAGAGGTGCGGCTGGGGCTGTAACAGAGACTCGGTACTCCGAGAAGCCCCGAAAGGACAGAAAATGGCCGATGGGCCTTTGAACTGAACTGAACCTAGAGCCTTGTGGGTTTTGCACTTGACATGAGCTCAACACTCTTCCTGCCTCATTTCACTTCCACCCAGCCCATGCTTTCTCTCCCGGTTCTTCCTCTTTTCCTGCCTCTCCTCTGCATATGGATGTTTCTGTTTGTTGAGTTCAGAGAGCGAGTCTCCATAAACATGGAGGGAGTGCCCTGTGGGTTGGGAAGTCAGATGCTTTCCCCTCGGAGCTTTAATGAGTAGAAAGGCTTAATGTGCCGAGTGTGGTGGTTTCCCGTGAACAGCCTTCGTTGACTGGGGAGCTTTTATAAACTGATTTCACAGGGGGGCAGGGACGGGAAGGGCTCGTCTCTGAAGTGCGTTAATGACATGGCTGAGCTCAGGAGCCTGAAACAACTCACACAAGTGTCTGTAGTCAGGAGCATCCACAGTCTGTCTGTGGAACTCACCCTGGATTCACCCAATAAGCCGTTTTTGGATGATTCCTGTCGACTGTGTTTCACCCACGTTAGCTGTTACACTAGAGATGCTGGAGAGTTATGTTTTGTTCCTCCTTTTTTTTTTTCTGAAACTCCTTAAGAATTCTTTCAGGCCTCCTTAAATCACCTGTTAAAACACGAGCTTCATCCTAGCTGGTTTGGCTCAGTGGAGAGCGTCAGCCTGTGGACTCAAAGGTCCCGGGTTTGATAACGGTCAGGGCATTTACCTTGGTTGCGGGCACATCCCTAGTAGGGGGTGTGCAAGAAGCAGCTGATCAATGTTTCTCTCTCATCAATGTTTTTAACTCTCTCTCTCCCTTCCTCTGTAAAAATCAATAAAATATATTTACAACAAAAAACAACAACAACAAAAAACCATGAGCTTTATTTCCTTTGGCTGTGGACATGACTGCATCCACAGCGACCAGGGAGGCTCTGGGCTGGCATATTGTAAATCATTAGAAAAGGAGTCACTGTTCTTTAAAAAAAAAAAAAAAAAAAAAAAAAATCCTCACCTGAGAATATTTTCCCATTGATTTTTAGGGAGAGTGGGAGAGACAAGGAAAGACAGAAATATTGATGTGAGAGAAACACATCAATTGATTGCCTCCTGTATGAGCCCTGACCAGGGCCCAAACCAGAGAGGAGCCTGCAATCGAGCTACATGCCCTTGATTGGAATCGAACCCGGGATCTTTCTGTCTGCAGGCTGATGCTGTACCCACTGAACCAAACCAGCTAGGGCTCAAACAGCTTTTGAAACAATAACTGCCCTGGGCCAACCCAACTCTTAAGTCATCACAAGCATGGGCTATCAGAAATTCAAAAAAGAGCAAAGCTCACCAATATTGATCCGCAGCATTTCCTGGCCCTGTGGCGTAGGTAGCCACCTGTCTCTTCTCTCTTTATAACTGCTTGTGCATTGAACGATTTCATATTTATGACAGCAAAAGTCCCATTTTACTTTATCGTTATGTAAATACAGTCTCGTTGAAGAAAGGTTTAGAAAGATAGTCACCTGTCACTTCCTTATTTGATGAATTCACCCAATCTTTATTGAGTGAGCTAGGAAGAGAGCAGAAAAAAAGAGTTTTGCCCTCACATGAAATCAGGCATTAATCAAGTATAAACCCCAGGAAGTGTTCTCTAAGCTACTGTCTGAGATGAGGGGGAGTTTGCCAGGTGAAGAGGAAGGGACTAGCCTTCCAGGGAGAAGGCACCGCAGATGCGAAGCCCCAATGGGCGCAGCCTTACGCTGCTCTGGGGCCGGTAGGACGCCAGGGGGACTGAAGCAAGGTGAGCTGGGGCGAGTGACCCCTCCTAGGGCTTGTGAGCCCGAGGGAGAAGGAGAGACCGGACAAGCTCTCATTGGCCAGGTGAAGCCGTAATTAACCAGGTAAAGTCTGCTGACTTCCTGCCTCCACTTTCTTATTTCTTCCTTTCCCATTTCCAGTGTTTTGGCATTTAGCTTTTGTTTTCTTCTCCAAGTGCTGTTTGAGAGGTAATGTAGAGGCACTTTGGTTGTGGAGTACCAAGGGATTTAAAACCTGCAGTGGCAAATGGATTAAGGAAAGATTTCTTAAAATGTATTAGCAGTAAACAAATACAAACTTAAGAACAGGAGATAGATAAATTGATATTTTTAAAATCTCAGTTTTACAAAGCAATGGTACCAACAGGCGTTATAATTACACAGAAAATGTGTTACGTATTCATTTTCAGGTTCAAAGCATTATATTGATTTTGTTTTTAAGATAAGCTGTCAAAGGAATTAGTTTAGCCCAGCTGGTGTGGCTCAGTGGTTGACTGTTGACCTATGAACCAGATTACAGTTTGATTCCCAGTTAGGATACCTGTCCTGGTTTCCGGCTCAATTCCCAGTGTGGGGCATGTAGGAGGCAGCCCATCAATGATTCTCATTATTATTATTATTTTAAAATATATTTTATTGATTTTTTTACAGAGAGGGAGAGAAACAGAATTAGAAATATCAATGAGAGAATCATCAATCAGCTACCTTTTGCACGCCCCCTACTGGGGATGTGCCCACAACCAAGGTACATGCCTTTGACCGGAATCTGCAGGCTGACGCTCTATCCACTGAGCCAAACCGGTTTCGGCTGATTCTCATTGTTAATGTTTTCATCTCTCCCTCTCCCTTCCTCTCTGAAGTCAATAAAAATACATTTTTAAAAAAGAATTAGTTTAACTTTCTAGATCATGGGGCCAGTTTTTAATTTGACTAACTTAATGCGCCTTGTGTAACGTAAGAGCTGTCCCTTTATTCTGAGGTTCAAAGCCAATATTTTCAACCGCAGATGTCTCAGGGTAAGTCTTAAACATGTTATGAAACAATAGTTGGTTAAATAACGTTGTTTAATCCTCAGAATGATCACCAACCAGCCACTCTGAATTCATCGGCTCTCCGGCTGGTGGCAGAAGGCACCAGGATTTCTGAAATGTGGCAAAATGACTTGCGGCCTTTGCTGATAGAGCGATACCCAGGATCCCCGGGAAGTTACGCGGCTCGCCAGGTGAGAAAAGAGACGTGTTTCTCTCCTTTAAGAAGAACTCAATTTCTGACCTAAAGGCTGTTAAATACTTGCTTTCACATGAGAGGTAACATACCCCACGTTCGGAGTTCTCTAACATTCAGATCTGCATTCTGATCTTATTATTCGCCAAAATAAGCCACCAAGAGAACCAAACAACTGGGAGTAAATGTCTCTTTTGTTAAGCATTCCATGTTAGCCTAAATCAATTTCGGTGTGAAATCTCTGTGTGGGGTATGGCATCAGACAGAGTAGTAAGTGCTCAACACTTGGTCATTTCTATAACAACCTCTTGGACCCTAAACACCCAATATTGACAGCCTTAGACAGCCAGTTCTGGGCGGAGAGTGAGTTACTGTCCTATCAGGCTTCCCTTTGGGAAGTAGTATTTTTCCCTGGTGGGAGAGACAAGGTCAGTGCTGAGCTACTTTCTCCAGTGCAATGCTTCTCAAGCTTCTGACTCTGACCCATGGTAAAACTAAGTGTGTGTGTGTGTGTGTGTGTGTATGTGTGTGTGTGTGTGTGTGTATGCAGAAGTCAAGCAGTCTCACTTCAGTCCAGATTCTGGAAGGGTTTAACCTTGACTTTTTCATCTATCACTGAGGAGTGGGTGCTGGTGGGTGCTCTGTGGTGTGTGCTCACAGATGTCTCTAGCTCTGGACCTTCTCATTTCAATGATACTCCCCGGGCGCCTCTCTCCTTCCTATTTAAAAGAAACAGGCATGTAATAATAAAAACAGCCTACATTCTAAACTGCATGTTAGCATGGCTGGTGGGCCCAGGCAGTTGCTGTCCGGAGTGAGGGAAGCACAGCGGCTTTAGACTCTCTCCCACAGCCAAGCGCCCCCTGCTCAGACATTCTGGCGAGAAGAGCAGTGGTTTTTGCAGCCTGCTCCACAGAATTGTGGTGGGAACTTGCAGATCAAGTCTGAAAGCCAAAAGCCCAACAACGAGATGTATTGGTGATGTAATTAGGTGATGCAGCCAATAGGGTTGTTTAGAAAGAAATTAGTTGCTAAGACAAATAAAAAAATATTTACACTGAATTAAAAAAGATTGCTTTAGGCAGAATTCTTTCTGGGCCATTTGCTGATGCTTTTGAGGATTTTAATGTCAACATCCAGATCAGGAATTATAGCAACTGGTTTAGTAGTTGAGAAACGAGTTTGTGTGTGAGACTTCAGCTGAGCAAAGCTAACAGATATATGTTTTAAATCCAATGCATGTTGTAAGCACACTGGCTGCTATTGGTGCTGAAGACATTTTATAGAGCAGCTCACCATCTGGATGCCAGATGTTCTGGAGTACACGGCTTTTGAAAAAATTTTTTACATGATTCCTTTTATGGAAAATAATTTTTCCCTCAAGTCTGAAGATAACTTATTTTCATATTCTGTGTAAAGCTTGTCTTAAATGCACAATACTTTCTCTCTATTCAAACTACTAATATTCTATCCTATATAATAAAAGGGTAATATGCAAATCAACCAAATGGCGCAATGACTGTGATGCACACTGACCACCAGGGGGCAGACTCTCAATGCAGGAGCTGCCCCCTGGTGGTCAATGCTCTCCCACAAGGAGCCCCTCAGCCACAAGCTGGACTGCAGCTGTGGTAGCAGGAGCGGAGCGCTAAGGATATCTGACTGTGACTTAGGCCCAAGCTGACCGTCAGACACCCCCTGAGGGCTCCTGGACTGCTAAAGGGTGAAGGCCAGGCTGAAGGGACACTCTCCCCCTCCCCCCCCAGTGCACAAATGTCATGCACTGGGCCTCTAGTATCATATAATTTTATATATTCTCATTGAGAATATTTATAATTAAAAAATTAAAAAAAAATTAGCTTGGCTGGTGTGGGTCAGTTGAGCATCGATATATGAACCAGGAGGTCACAGTTTGATTCCTGGTCAGGGCACATGCCCAGGTTGTGGGCTTGATCCTCAGTATGAGGCGAGCAGGAGGCAGCTGATCAATGAGTCTCTATCATTGATGTTTCTTTTTTTAAAGTATATTTTATTGATTTTGTACAGAGAGGAAGGGAGAGAGATAGAGAGTTAGAAACATCGATGAGAGAGAGTCATCAATCAGCTGCCTCTTGCACACCCCCTACTGGGGATATGCCCGCAACCAAGGTACCTGCCCTTGACTGGAATCGAACCCGGGATCCTTCAGTCCCCAAGCCGACGCTCTATCCATGGAGCCAAACCGGTCTCGGCTCTATCATTGATGTTTCTATCTCTTTGTCCCTCTCCTTTCCTCTCTGAAATAAATAAAAAATATTTTTAAAAAATTTAAAAATTTTTTAAGAGAAGGAAAAAATAGTTTATTAATTACAGTTTAGGCATATTTACTGGTAGCCAACTGTAAACAAAGCCCAATACTGAGAATTGTGAAGAATAACAAAAAAATGAGATACACATGATGATTTCAACAAGGTTATAAACATTTCTTCTTCTTCTTTTTTTTTTTTTTAATATGAAAAGACAACTTCTCAACCTATAATAGATAAAGGCAAGGTACTGTGTATTTGTGCTATTTAGGCCGAAGTCTACCTCATTCCCCTCACTACAGAAAGCAGAAAATGGATGGCTGGGGAATTAGTTTTTATTTGGCTTTTGCTGCAGAGTTAGCTGTAGAGTCACTGTTGTGTCCACCCCCCCCCCCCCCCCCCCCCCCCGCCTCAGTTCTCTCCCTGGAAGCTTCCTGCCACAGTGTTTTCACGGTCCTTGCCCACATGCCGTGTCACATTAGTCAGGGCAGGAGGCCACACAAGACTTGGTGAGGTTAGAAAATTGTGCTTCCCTGGGAAAAAAGAATCTCCCCTTCCTTTCCAGTTATTACGTTATTTGTTTACCACCTCAGGGTCCATTCCCACCGATATTAATTGTGGGACAGATTGCTGGTTATGTGGATGGTGAGTTTGTCCCTTGACTTTAAAAAAAAAACAACAAAACAACCTTTAAGGCAACTTACAAAGATGTATATATTTCAAAATAAAATAAATGGAACCCAGTGAGAAAAATGAGGCACAGGGAAAATAAAGGCAGGAAAGGGCAATGAAACAGTGATGAACTCACCCATAGATTATTATGTATATATATATATATATATATATATATATATATATATATATATATATATATATATATTTTTTTTTTTTTTTTTACAGAGAGGAAGGGAAAGGGATAGTTAGAAACATTGATCAGCTGCCTCTTGCATGCCCCCCACTGGGGATGTGCCCGCAACAAAGGTATAATACATGCCCTTGACCGGAATCGAACCTGGGACCCTTGAGTCCGAAGACCGACGCTTTATCCACGGAGCCAAACTGGTTAGGGCTCACCCCATAGATTCTTAAAGAAGACCATTCTAGTGTCTGATGTGAAGTTTCTTTTGTATCTGATACTTTGCCCTGTCATTTACCGTGTTGCTCATAAGGTCTAAGATAGTCAGGAGAAGTGGGTTTATTTTTACCAGAACGTGCAGCGGATCTGGGCCTTCCTTGCGTGCAGAAGGAAAGCTGCTTGATAGTCACTGTGGTTCAGAGCCGCTTATTGATTCTTAAGGTGGGCAGAACCTCAAATGTCCCTACCCACCCCCTTGTTGTGGACTCTCTTTCTAGTATCCTGAGCAGGTGAGCATCGGTATCTTTTGTTAGTGTTCATTATGTTGTGAAGTACCTGTTGGACTCCAGGCACCTGCTATACACTGGGGACCTAAAGAGCCACCATGTGCCATGCTTGCCTCAAAGAGCTTAGAGTGGAAGTTGAGATCTGTAGGTGCCTGGTATATCTGTTTTCTCAAATATGCCTTCTTAGCCTCCTCGAGAAATTGAAAGTGGAAAATTTCTTACATTTTGAACTGGATCTCTATCTCCTGACGTGTAGAAATGTTCATGTTAGATGAAGTGAGAAGAGTAGGATTCTACTCCTATAAAAACACATCCCTCTGCCAATCTATGAGTTTGTGCTAATATATGTTTGTGTAAAAATAAAAGAGAGAAGATACACATCAGACTATTAACGATACTATTAACAATTTGTAGGGAGGATATTGGGGGAGAGGGAGAAAATTAGCCTTTCTTTATACACCCGTGCTATTCATCCCATAAGCATGTATTGCATCATTAACTTGAAAGGCCTATAAGCAACTTAAAACATACCTTACAAATGAAACCTGCCTTGGTCTGAAATTTTGTTATTTTTTTGTTTTGTTTTCATCAGCATATCATGCAGAGAATTCAGAGACTTCAAGCTGACTGGGTCTTGGAAGTAGACACCTTCTTGAGTCAGACACCTTACGGGTATCGGTCTTTCTCAAATATCGTCAGCACCCTCAATCCCACGGCGAAACGACACTTGGTACTTGCCTGTCACTACGACTCCAAGTATTTTCCCCATTGGGACAACAGGGTGTTTGTGGGAGCCACCGACTCAGCCGTGCCGTGTGCGATGATGTTGGAACTAGCTCGTGCCTTAGACAAGCAACTCCTTTCCTTGAAGGTATGTGTTTCCCTCTCGTAGAGTCTTCGCATAAAACACATGAGCAGTCACGCAGGGTGAATTTGAGAATCCTTGTGGGGGAAGTGAGAAGGCCATTTAGAAATGTAGACTTTCAGGACATTTTGTATTAATTGTTGGCAAAAATGGCATGGGTTTGAGTGAATATTAATTGGATGATTACATTATTTGAAATGTCAACCATGGCCAATTAATCTAAGATACATGACAGCTGAATTCATCAATCAGCACCTGGGTTCTTAGTTTTGAATACCCATTCAATGAAGGGCAACATTTCTTCATGAAAGATTAAGAAAGCGGAAGGGGTATATGTCTGAGAACTCTGTTTATTTTCCTTCTTGTTTGTGGAGCCACGGACATCACAGCCTTCTGATCTGAGAGATGGTGGCCCTCAGGAGTGAGTAATGCAGACATATCGAGATGAAAAGCACGAAGCAGAAATGCATTATTGTTATTATCCGTGGATCTCGGCTCAATTTTATGTAGCATAGTGGAGCTTTTGTTAATGTGCTCAGCTCAGAATACTTCTGGGACTCCCTGATGTTATTTCAGTCTCTGTGTTCTGAAGGGTATATTGGGGGAAAGTGCTGAACTAGATGAAGACGTTTTGTTCAGATATCACTCATAAGCAAGTAAACACAACGAAGCAAAAACAAAAACCTTGGTTCGCAGGCAACGGACGCCTCTTTCTCCCCTCTGAGCTTTATGAAGGGGCCGGCCTTGGGTACAATGTGGGCAAAGAAGTAAAATGTTTATCTTGTAATGGAAGTAATGGAGATATTGGGTTCTATTTTTGCTGGGTATGCTGCACTTGGAGAAAGCAAGAATTGTTTATAACCTCTCGGTATGCCTTTCACTGTTTTTTGTTTTGTCTTGTTTTTCTGAACCTTCTATGATGTCTTTGCCCTGTGCTCTACCCTACTTTTAACGAGCACTCTCCCTCAGCTATTGGGTGAGGGAGTTCTGAAGCTGATGCAACCGTTTGATTTCTCGTCTTTGCATTCTCGTGTAAGGACATGAAATGAAATGGATGTGAGGGAGAGGCACAGGTTGTGTAGTGGCTGCACTTTCTCTTTTGGTAGAAGGAGCTGGATGAGTTTTTGGGTAGGGATCCCCATGAAAAAAACATGCATACATTCTCTTAATTACCCTTACGTTTAATAGACGTAAACAGTGATGTGGACAGCTTTGAAAAAGGGCTAGTTTTGGGTACAAGCATGGAGAGTATCAGACTTATCCACCCAGTTGGATTTTAATTTAAACGGTGGGAAGGAGTTATTTTTAAGTTCTTCAGCTGTCATGGATTGGGTAGGCGGTGATGATGGAATGTGATCTGGCAGAGGTCTGGATTATTGTCCCAACTCTTTGCAGCCCTCCCCTCTCTATAATAATATTATAATTATATATTCACATCTTTTGCCTTATAACTTTGCTGTGTTCCTCCCTCTTCCCCCAATGGCAGGCTGTACCTGGTTGTTCCTTACCTCTGGACTTGGTTATCTGACTTGTCTTGGCCAACAGAATGCTTATAGGTGTGACACAAGCAGAAGTGTGCTTGTGCAATTGGGCTTGCTCCCTCGGGCCTTTGCCATCACCAGGAAAAGGGTGTGCCCTGGCCGGCCTGCTGGCCCCTGGAGGAGGATTAGAGAGACATAGGGAGCAAAGCCAATCTTGAGGACTTGGATGAAGCAAGGCTTCTGATCCAGCCCAAACAGGCCTAGATCAGTTGTCCCCAGCTGACCTACAGACCCAGGAGGATACATGAGTGTTGTTTGAAGCCACTGAGTTTAGGGTGCTTTTTCACACCTTGTTATTGAGATAGCCTTGGGTGGGGAAAGAGTGCAGATAACTCGCCAACTATGTCGACACTGGTAATGAGACATCTATCCTATTGCCACCAAGGAGGATTGCGAGAGCTTCAACAAACCAGGCTACACAGATAGTGAGCGAAGCAGAAGCGGGGGTGGGGGGAGCTGGGAAGGAGAGTGTTGTTAAATCTAAGGAGCACTTAGATATGTAGGTGCCCACCCCACACCTGGAAGGTAGGTGAGCACCCCATCTGTATTCTTGTGGGAGACGACAGAATATTTTTCTAGAGAAACAGAACCAGGGAGGTTCTCGACATGGAGACACTAGATATAAAGGAGGGAAGTAGTGAGGCACCTCCAAGAAATCAAGGAGGTTAGGTGAGAGTCCCCCATTGAACAGAGGTCTGCAGCCTTTCCCCCATTTCCGACATGAGAAAGCCAGCATCCAGCTTGTGCCCAGAGACAGGAACCCAGAGGATCCTTCTCTGGAGCCTATGAACCATCTCAGTGTAAACCCCGACCGGGCACCAGCTCACCCTGTAGGGAAGCCAACCTAACCAGTGTTATAGCGCCTTATTCTTTGTCTGAGTGAACACCAAGGATGACCAGACATTTGAGGACAGTCTCCGACATGAAAGCAAACAAGCCAAACAAGTAATACAAATTGAAAAAAGCACAAGGAGCAGAAGAGGTCTTCAAGGACACAGTTTCTAATGCCCTTAAATAAGAGGAGAAGGGATATCTCTAACGGATTAAGGAAACATCAGAATCAGTTTGGTCCATTGGGAGCACATATTCCAGCATGTTCATTAGTGAGGTAGAGAGTGCAAAGGGTTGTATATTTCCCTCTACCACGTTCAGCTGCACAAGTGTAGGCTCGAAGGAAGCAGAGAGTGGCCTTGAGGTCATGTGTTTGCCAGGTGAGTTTGACCAAGGCAGAGAGAGGCAAGGGAGTGGAACGTGTTTTTTCAAGGGAGCGATTAGAATGATTGACTCTGGAATTCCGGAATTGATACTGAATATGGAGTGAAGGGAGGACATCTTGAGGGTGAAGGACTTGGAAAAGATAAACGATTCAGTAGATTAGAGATTGCAGTTGGGCTGCAGATTCTGGGAGTTGGGGGGACTAATGTAAAAAGTGAGAGTTGTCAGACAGTGGAAAGTAAAACATTCATCAGAACCCTACTCACACTTCTAAGTTCTCCTAAAAACCATCTCTTGTGTGAAGTCTTCTCTGACACCCCAACGATTCAACCCCCCATTCTATCCATTTCCAGATGACTTTTACTTTACATTTGTGACCCTTGACACATTTTGCCATGTCCGTGTATTTGGTTTATCTTTTCTAACCCAACTAACGTGTAGGTTCCTGCAGGGGAGAGGCTGTAATGATTACTCTTTGTGTCCCTGCATTTTTAGGGCATGTCCTGCAGGGGAGAGGCTGTAATGATTACTCTTTGTGTCCCTGCATTTTTAGGGCATGTCCTAGACTAAACAAAAAAAAAAACAAAACAAAACAAAAAAAAAAAGCAGGCACACCATGGACGAGATGGATGAGTAGCCAAATAGATTTGCAGTTTTTCAGGTTGGGTTTCCTGGGACGCACACTCTGACTTGGAGGTTAGGATTTAGGTCATTTCTTAGGGAGTGGCCTTGACTCAACACCTGTGGCTGGGAGGGGAGAGCACTGGGATCCGGCAGAGGGAGAAGCCAGGCTGTCTTTCAGGTACAATGGCGTTAGCCAAGCTCTGGGGATCTCTGGAGGTGCCAGAGCCTCTCACAGTTCTCTGAAGAGTTAGAGAAAATGCATAACTTCTATTTTCCCGGGAAGTGGGAGACGGTGAGATGGACGTGGGGATGCGATGATTTCCAGGGAAGAAGTGTTGCCAAACAAATGATGGCATGGTTTCCCTCACTGTGTTCTCGTCCCTTTCTTGGTGGCTCAGCTGTCTTCTCTCCAGTTACCTTTTCACTGTTCTTTTTTTACCAGAACGTTTCAGACTCCAAGCTGGATCTGTCACTCCAGCTGATTTTCTTTGACGGGGAAGAGGCGTTTCTTCACTGGTCTCCTCAAGACTCTCTGTACGGGTCCCGGCACTTAGCTGAAAAGATGGCATCGACCCCACACCCACCTGGAGCGAGAAACACCAACCAGCTGCATGGCATGGTTAGTCTGGGAAGTACCCGTGGTGCTGCGTCTGCCAAGGCTGCCTCCAGGGTAGCCAAAGCTACAGCCAATTAAAGACCTAAAAATGCCCGGCATCCTTGGAGCAGAGTGTTTATAATAGAGCATTCCTTGGCAGGCGTTTGGGTTTTTGAGGAATCCCAGAGCTAAAAAGAATGATTCTGGGTTAGCAGTTATGCCTGCGCTCAATTAAACTATTTCACGGAAATGATATGAACGTATACATAGTAAGTTTTAAAAATGTAATGTTATTGACTTAAGTTTTCAAAAATGTAAAAACACTTTTAATTAAAAGGCTGTAAAACATCCGATTAAGGAGACATTAGATTCAGTTTGGTCCAATGTGATTGCATTCTCTTGGTATTGCATGGAGGTGGAGAGAGCACCCCTTCTCTGAGCCCTGAGGCCTGAGGAGGTGGAGGTTTGGGGAAATGGAGTTAGAGTGGGGCCTGGTGTGAGGATGGGGTGAAGAATTTCCTCATGGAATCAAAGCATTATAATGACTCTGACATTTTGATGTGCTGATGTTGATGTGGTATTGTTGATGTCGGGGTGGAGACATTTTGATGCTGCCTTAATACCCTGGTCTTACTGCCCAGAATGGGTGTAGCACACGACCTCATTTTCATCCCCAACCCTGTCCCCCTCCACCCCCCTGTCCCTCACCCTGTCCTTGAATTCTTTCCCTATTCTAATTCTCTTCCTATATTTGAGCTTCATTCAGTCTTGAGTCCTCACTGACCCCTGCTTGGGACCTCAAGCCTTTCTTGAGTCTTCATTCTTCCCCGTGCCTTCGTGCATCCCTGACCATCGCCCTTTCTGTGAACTGATAGCCTATTTCTAACCACTCCACTTGTCCCAGTCCTTTGCCTTGTCACCTTCTCCCCCTGAGTTCACATGGCCAGGTTAAATGTCCCCTATGATTATGACACATCCCAGGTGGGCATTCTCTCCATCCAATGGCCCATTGGCAGCTCATAATGGATCAGGGGAATATGGTCAGAACCTCATTTGGTCACTTGAACCCAAATGGCTAAAAAGGATTCAGAGGAGGAGAGACCTGGTTGATCAATAGGAAGAACAGTTATTTAATATTCCAAATATATGAATCCATAATATGATTAAGTCCATTAAGACTATTCCACCTCTGCCCCCCCGCAAACAAATGCTCATTAGCTTATCTAACCATGTATATACATTCTGATTTCAACCAAGCCTATCTCCCCTAATGAATATATTTAATCATCATTCATGACTTAATAGACTCTATGTCTTTAGAATGATAGACTCTGCAAATATTTACCTACCATGTGTCAGGATTTACACTAGATATTTACCCACAGATGACCTCACTCATATAAATCAGTTCTTAAACCAGGGTTAGGCAGGGGAGGGGTGTGTGTGTGTGTGTGTGTGTGTGTGTGTGGTCTTCAGGGAGTCCTTAAGCCTGCTGATGTTTAATGGCTCAAGCAAGTTAAGGAACACCAGTTTAAATATAGAGTACATAATCAGAAGGGACTTTTAAAGATCAGCAAGTTTTGCCATTCCCTAAACAATATATAACAACGACTGTCTGCATAGTACTAGCATTGTGTATCTCAGCATTTACCTATATTATAAGTAATCTGGAGAGTATTTAAACATACAGGAAGTTATGCTTAGGTTATTTGCAAATACTATGCCATTTTACGTAAGGGACTTGAACATCTGGGGATTTTGGTGTCCTCGGAGGTCCTAGAACCAATCCCATGGGTATTGAGGACAACTGTATATGCACAACCATTGAATTGTGTGCTTTAAATTGGTAAAGTGAATTTAAATTTGAATTCTATCTCAATAAAGTTGTTTTTAAGATAGAAATAAATTTATAGATAATTAAATAAAACTAAAGGAGAAAGTGAAAAAAAAAGAAAAGATCAGCAAGTTTATAGAAAAGGACCTGGAGAACCAGAGATACCAGGTCCTGAAGCTTCTGGTCAAGGAGTTTTTCTTATATGCTCACTTTTTGGAATAATAGTTACTCAATGTTCTCTTATTGGTGGTTATGTCATTATAGACAAAGAATAAAGTGGCGAATTAGAATGGAATAGATCAGAGGCTTGGACTCCCATCTGAAAATCAAGTTAAATGTATTCTTTTTAAATCTATGAAATACGTATTCAGATGTTCTCTAATTTATTTTCAGTGATATCATTCTGGGATTCCAGACACGAAGAATCTACACATTGCCATTTAATGGCAAAGCAAGATTTAATACATTTACCGAAAGTGCTAGCTTACAATGCTATTAAATCTTTTGTTTATACTAGTATAGCTCCCTAGATTATTCTCAATTGTTACTATGCCTATAGTTTTGATTCATTTTTTTTTTTACATTGATGAGAATGAAATGTGTTTTTAGTGACAACGATTAAACAATATTTTTTCTCCCTTAGGATTTATTCATCTTATTAGATTTAATTGGCGCTCCAAATCCAACATTTCCCAATTTTTTCCCAAACTCTGCCCGATGGTTTGCTAGACTTCAAGCAATTGGTAAGCACCAATGTTATTAAAACTAGGTTTCTTCCTCCTGATAAACACTAAATTTTTAAATTCAAAATTTAAGATTTAAGTGTATGATTTGAATATATATTATACTTCCCTGGCTTTTCCTCTTGCTTTATGGATTAATTATCCCTATTCATCTCTTTTAGTAGGCCCACTTTATTTTCTTGCATGAAACTGCATTTTGATATCTTATATAATAAAAGGCTAATATGCAAATTGACCGAACCTTAGATACTTTTCTTTGGCAAATTTCAATTTCTAGTTTGAAAGAATTACTTTTGTGGTATTATTAATATAAGCGTCTTGGGCCTCTCTTAGCATGTTTTCTTTGATGGTAGCCTCAAAAAATTGGGTTTGGCCATTTTTCAAGGATTTTCTGCACTTTTCTTATTTCCTCTACCAGAATGAATTTAGCAGTAACTTGCACCTTAATGGTTTTTAACCCACTGTGCTGCCCCCTCCTATGATACTAACTGTACTTCAAACCATATCTAAATTGCCTAAAGAAAAGTTATATCCTAAGATGAAAGAATTGTGTCAATTAATGGATTGCAATTATTGTTTGGTGGTGCTTCCTAACAAATTACATATGTTCCTAAACATCTCCATGTTGCTAAAACATCACATATGCTTGCTTACCACTTGAACTAGTTTTGCGCTTTAAATTTAGCAATTAAAAACACACACACACCCTGCTATCCTGATGCATTTCATTTGATTGTCTTATACTTTCCTTGTGATCTCTTATCATTTTGTAGCATAGAGCACATGTTATAGGTAACCCTGTAACATCACACATGGGTTCTATGTTAGAAGATGGTGAGTGATGGAACGCAGGCCGATGGTTCTCAAACTAGAGTGTGCATTACCTGGAGGGACAATGCTGGGCTCCGTCCCTAGAGTTTCTGATTCTGTGAGTCTGTGGGCCCAGATAATTTACATTCCTAACAAGTTGCCAGGTGATTCTGCTACCCCTGGTTGGAGACCATACGTTGAGTACCACTGATGCAGATTGTAGCGGGTAATGCTTTTCCATAAAGTGGCCACTCAATAAACTTCACCCTTATTCTGTTTGAGTATTACCCTTCCAAGCCCCACATCTCCTCTTAAGGTGTTCTTCATACAGGATCTCAGATCTATGAGTATCTATGCTGTTTTCATCCCATTTTTTCCCTGTTTTTCTCATTCTTCATTTTTTCATTCCTCTACCGAGTTTCACCCCTAAGAAGGTTCTCACCTGTAAAGCTACTGCCACAGGTGACCCTTTTCATTCCCAAACTACTCCAAAATGTACACACCCATGTACAGCGCAGATGTCTATTGACATATGTTCATAGCTGCATGTTTTAAAAGCCATGGTCACAGGTACTGAGATTTCACACTCCTTATGCATTCTGTGTATTGATCAGATAAAAAAAGATATTCATCTGCTGCCTAATTGTCCTCTGCAGAATATGAGCTTCACGAATTAGGTTTGCTCAAGGCTCATTCTTTGGAGAGGCGGTACTTCCAGAATCATGGTAATGGAAGAGAGATTCAGGATGACCATCTCCCGTTTTTAAGAAGAGGTAATAATGTGTGTGTGTATGTATGTATATGTATGTGTGCATGCACATGTGTGTTTTTAATCTACTGTAGTCATTGCAACAATTTAGAAGGATAAGCAGTCATTAGATTTAATGAATTGAACAATTAAGTCACCCATCAGTCATCTTATGGCTTCTGTTTTTTTTTTTTTTTTTTTTTCATGAAAGTCATTCGAAATCCTTGACACGTTTATATTTTTCCCCTGCAGCTAGTTTATTTATGAAAGCTCATGTTCCATTGACCATGCCTTCACTTTTATAGAGTTATGCTGTGTTCTTACACTTTGTATAACTCTGACGTTTACTAATTAATAAGGAAGTCATAGCCTTGATGTTAATGGTGAGAGTTTAAACAAACCCAAGGACTCTTTTTTAAAAAATATATTTTTTATTGATTTCAGAGAGGAAGGGAGAGGGAAAGAGAGAAACATCATTGATGAGAGAATCATTGATCAGCTGCCTCCTGCATGTCCCCTTCTGGGGACTGAGCCCACAACTCCAGGCATGTACCCTTGACTGGAATCAAGACCGTTCAGTTGCAGACCGATGCTCTGTGCACTGAGCCAAACCGGCTAGGGCAAACCCAAGGACTCTTGCAAGAGCCTCCCAATTGGTTTCTAGTGTTTGCTTTTGCTTCCTATTCTCTTCTTTTTAAAAAATAAATCTTTATTGTTCAGATTATTACAGTCTCTACCATGACCTGCAAGGGCCTCCATTTTATGACTCTGTTCTCCCTCCCTAACATCACGTGCTACGTCTGTCTCCAGTCAGTCTTACTTCAATCCAGCCACACTGGGCTTCTTGCTGTTCCTCAAGCAGGCCAAGCCCACTCCTACCCCAGGGCCTTTGCACTTACTACTACTGTTGCCTAGAATACTTCTCCCCAGGCTTCTGCACACCTTGCTTTTCCTGTGTTGCATGTCTCTATTTATTTGTTATCTTCTCACAGAGGCCTTCCCTGACTTTAAATGCCTTCTTCTTAGCTCTGCTGTCTGCCTCTAATTCTCTATTTCCTCACTTTATTTTATTGTTCTTTATAAGCCATTTCACTTTCTAAAATTATTTTTTATATTTGTTTATTTGATTCTTTCTCTACTGGAATGTAAGCACCATATGACCAGGGCTTTGCCTTTTAACTGATGAAACCTCAACTTCATAGGGGCTGGTATATAGTAGGTGCTTTCTAATTGCTTACTGAATTAATTAGCATTTGTTTAATTAATGAATGACTTTGGAGTACAAGGATAAGATATAAGGGAGTACACAGAAGATGATGAATAACCTACTGTCTTTATATGGATAGGAAAGAGCTCACACTCAGACTTCTGCTCGCCAAATTACACTTTCTAGTTTAAATATGCACTTAATTACAAGTTGATTCTTTCTTCTTAGGTGTTCCAGTTTTGCATCTGATAGCATCTCCTTTCCCTGAAGTCTGGCATACGATGGATGACAATGAAGAAAATTTGGATGAAGCAACCATTGACAATCTAAACAAAATTATACAAGTCTTTGTGTTGGAATATTTGCATTTGTAATATTCTCATTTGGTTCATGGTACTTGTATCCAGTATCAAATTCAAAAGTCAAGGTACAATTTGAAATAATCTGATTCCAGACAAATACTGTGTGGAAACTTCTATCTCAGAAATTCGTTCTGTAGGTAGATTTGATATGTGATTAATAAATCCTGGATTTATGTCATGTCCTAAACTTCTTGTTCATTTTTATCTGGAGATAAAAAGGGAAGTAGAAGGAAAATAGAAAACACATATCTTTAAGGGATTCCTTCAGCTAAAAAACTATGAAGCTAAATCAAATTCATATAGTCAGTATCAGGCTCTTCTAAATTATACTTAAATATTATGGTGATGTGTAATAGGTAGCCTAAGTTTTATGATTTTTTTTAATACTTAGGAATTCATTGCATATAATACAAAACAGAGATGTGGTTTGAAAATTCTTGAATTTCTTTGAGAAACCTGTATTTCCTGGAAATTAAATCAGAATAAAATGCCATGTTGTGAATTTCTCTTTTTTTTGTAGGTAAATGAAAATTTTTAGAATTTAAAGTATAGTTCAACTTACAGAGTTTAACAAATTTAACATTTTTTATTTAAAAAATAATATAGTTAGTAACAAAAAAATGAATAATGGAAAAAGAAGGAAACTATCATGCCAATATATTAACAAAATCTCCATTCAATCTTTAGTTCTCCCTCATGCATTTTTAATGCAGATTTTCAAAATGTAGTTATAATCAAATTGTGTCTGTAACACTTTTATCCTTTTTCTCTGTTTAATTATATAATTACAAGACATTTATTTGCTGTATTGATCTTGGATTGGGATGAGGACAGAAAAAGACTGTTGAATGTGACCTCCAGAGTCAATTATGAAAGTAACAGAATAGTGGCACAGTAATTATGATAATTTTTGCATAGGTAACTTACATGCTATTTACATTTGGCTAATTTCTTTTAGCATATATATATATATATATTGCAGCCGATTCACAGAAGCAAAATTTTGGGCTACAAACACATAAGGAATTCATGGGTTTTTCTTTAGTTATAGGAAACAATGATCTAGAAATACAAACTTGGTCAGTTAAACAATTAAGAAACTGATCGTGCCATCGAGATGAAGTTAGGTGGGCCTCTGCTCCATATGCTCCCTGTTCTGAGCAGACAATCAACAAATACACATTGAATCAATGTGCTGGGCCAGGTAGGGCTGGAGACAGACCAGCTGAGTGGGAAAGCAATGGCAGCTTTAAGTTCAATGACAAAGGAAGTCACTGGAAAAGGAATTTACTTTCCAGGTGAAAAAATGGAAAAGTATATTTTTATCTATATAATGATATAAAAGAATAGTCAGAGCTATATAATCATATATGTACATGCGTAAGTACCTGTAATTTCGTGTTTATAAATTTTACAGAATTAGTTTTTCTAGGATTTCTTTTTTATTTTACACATTTGCTTCTGAAATTATGTAAAAGGTGTCATGTCTTTGTAAGTTAAACAATATTATGAGTGAACACTGAGTACTGTCTATGTCAGACAGTGTCATAGTGCTATATATGTTTTTACCAACTCAATCCTCACGAGAATCCTAAGGGGTAGGTGGTATTATTCACCCTATTTTATGACGCTCAGGATAGCTAAATGTCTTCTTCAAGAGATGCAGTGAGTAAGTGGCAACGGTGGGATTTGAACCCAAGGAGTCTGGCTCTAATGCTCATGCTTTGAACCCCTGGAGAGTGCTTCCTTTTGACATGAAAACAACTTTGCAGGATATTCTCAATGCCAAGTGCAAAGCAACAGTTGTACCTTGACCTTACTATAGGTCACTCAGTCTGGGAGAGCATTCGCAAAGCACTGCTGCCAAGAGTCAGCTGACAGCATTAGGCTGCAGAGGCTTTCGGGATTGTTTTTTCTGCCACAGCAAAGGCTGTTTTCACCTCAGCGTGGGTAAACAGAAACCCACGTGAGTGCTTTCAGGGCTAAAGAGCCTAAGCCACGAAGCAGGATTAAGGAAGGCTGAGTTTTCTGGATCGACTTTGGATAAGATAAAACATCTGAACGGGGTTAAGGGAAACACTTTTTTTTTTTTAACATCAGAAAAAAAATGATTTAACTGATGATATTGAAACAGAATGCAAAGAAGTTTTAACAAGGAACCTAAACATCAGTTGACATTAATACACACACACATACACACACACACACACACACACACACACACACACGTATACATATATAATTATAAGCTTAAATGTAAGTTCCTTCTGAAACAATGAAATTAATAGATCTATAATCTGTTGAGCTGGCATTAGTTGAATTATTTTTAGAGGAGGAAGTTGGAGGATATGTTGCAATGAGATAAAGGGAAAAATAAAAACATAAGCAGCTTACTCCGTGCAGGTTTCCTTCCTTCCAAATGGCACATCCTAAAATTCTGTTACTAAGAGTTTGCAATAATGTGAGAAAGGCCATCATGATGCCCCACAGGGAAACATTTGAAGGTACTAATCTTGATACTAGCCTCTGAAATATAGTATGCTGTGTAATGCATGCCAGCCAGAAATAACACTTTTAAAAAAGTATATCTGTGAAGGCAGATCTCCATAAACATTATGTTGTAGTTGGAATTTTTCTATGTGCATTTTGGAGCATTTCATTACCCCTAAGAGAACAACTGGTATGTTTTTGTCTATTATATCAACCCTGCAACACATAGGGCAATTTCTTTCTTTTTATTTTTTTTCCCCAAGAGAAATGACTTCAAAGGAGAATATTCATAAAAGAGTATTCATAACCTTGGCATTAAAAAACAGATCACGAGCCTGTTGTTGTCCCTTGAGGCCTGTGGCTGGAAGAGAAAAGGCAGATCCTTTAAAACGGAGACATGTTTTAGATGGGGAAGCAGTTGTCCTGAGAACAAAGCAACCCATGTTTCCAGCTCCAACTCCAAATCCTTAAACTGTTTATCCCATGGACCTTCTTTCTTCCATCAAAGAGGCACATTCATTGCAGTACTGCAGCAAATCACACGAACACCCAACATTCGCTCAGTCAACTGGGCCCAGCTGGACACCATTTCTTATAAAGGGCGGTGGGGGAGCGGGGGATTGAAGGGGGGGGGGGCTTCGTGGGGGAGGAGCAGGCAAAACACAAGACACTTGCATTTCTCTGATGTACAGACAGCCCCACATGAGGCTTGGCCGTGGTATCTTCTGCTGAAAATGAAATCTAATGTCTTTGCAAGCCCCAAATCGGAGGAATGATGTGTGGGAATCAAAGGATACAAAGGGAAGATGAGGGAGACTCTCTGTGGCAGCCAGAGTCACTCAAAGCGAAGCAGCCAGAGTCACAAGAAACATTGGGGAAATTGCTTCCATTTGCTTTTCATGAAGGTCTGGGGCTGTGTTCTCCTAGCCAGCCTTCCCACCAATTTTTGGCTTCAAAGATGAGTGTACGAGAGAGCACGGTTTCACTCTGAGTCCTGGGGTCACGTTCTACAGAGTCTGAAGGTCTACAAATCGTTTTGAAGTGGTTTAACGGCCTCCTCTTCTCCCTGCTGTCTCACTTCTCTGACTCCCCTGGTCCATCTTCCAATAGTCCAAGTACTGCTTTGTTGCAAGCGGCATGGGCATGTGCAGCTACCTCCTCCATGTTTTGCAGAAGGGCTGAGGGGGAGAGGAGAGGCCAGTAGCTGGTTGAGCCAGCAGGGTGGTGTCAGATACCCCTCACATCCTCCTAAACGTGGAAATTGGCCCCAGGATCTTGGCACTAGATCCAACACAAGAACTCATGGCGGTCTGGAAGAGAGCGGAGATGAAAGAACCGCCTGTGTCGTGGCTGTAGCCCTCTGCCCGGGTTCGGTTGGTGTGCTCACGCAATGTGAAGTCATCTCGCTGTGCTCAGATTTCAAAGGCAGCACATGGAATGCAGCCCACACTCTGACATCTCCAAATGTGCCAGTGGATAGACCATTTGTTGGAGGATTAATATTAAGAGCACACAATTGGCAAGAAGAGAAACAAACAGACAAAAAAACACACCATGGTTTAAAACAAAACAAAACAAAACAAAACAAAACAAAATAAAACAAAAAACAACTCACACCAGAAAACTCACAAAGATTAATCACAAAGGTAATGTGAAAAATAGACTTCACAGCCAATAAAGTATGAACAGCACTGAACCCTTTATTCTCTCCCATTGACAGAGCGCCTTGGGCCACAAGAGATCCTGGGCATTTAAGGATTTAACATTTGTGGTTTCAGATAACAAAAAAATGACATGTAATAAATTATTCAAGCTGAGTTTGGCTGCAGAAGCAAATGAGTTTAGCTGACTACCCGCCATCAGTCCGTCTCACTGTTCTCTAGTCATCCTTGCAGTTAACACTCGGGAAGCAATAAAAGCCACTTGTTTGTAAAAAACTGACTCCCCAGCACTCCCCACACCTTCTAAGCCAGTCTCTCTTCTGGAGATGTAGTTAAAGAGGTCTAGAAAAATAGTGGTGGCACAGAGTAGCTTTGTAAGTATTTTGATTCTTTATGGATAGGTGAATTAAGAGTATGAAACGATCCCTCTAAAACTTCTGGGTTTTAAAAATTGTCTTCTGAGGGGATACATTATAAGCTGTAATGTTACTCAAGAGTGTATAGGATATTTTTCTTGGGAATGTGGAGAATCCATCTTAGGCTATGCTAGAGTTATTGAAATGAGTAATCGACCACAACTGGTCCTTTGATAGGTTTACCCGTTCATATAGCTATAAATTAGTGTCCTCGTTTTTAAAGTAAGTGAATGTAGAGACCAACTTATTCTTAGTTGATGTAACACTAGACTCTAGGGAACTTGATTTCTGGTGTAATTTCACCTTGATTAGGAGAGGCCTCAGAGATTTTCTAGTTGATTTGTTCTCAAATGGGGGAAGTACATGCCCTTCGGGGGCATTGAGGTGTGTGTGAGAGTGTGTGTATGTGTGTTTGTGTGTGTGTGTGTGTGTGTGTTGTATGTGT